GAAATGGAAAATTTATTAAAAATACAAGTACATAAAAAATGTAATTATTTATTCTGCTTATGAATTAGAATCTAATGTTCTATTTTTCTATTATCCTAGGAAGAACAAAAAAATGAAATAAAAAAATTGAATAACCTTATGAAGAATGTAGTAGACATTAGTGAATATAAAATACTTAAAAATGATTTTGAAGTTTTGACTGCTAAACACAGAGAAATATTGCATTTAGTTTTGTTTAAGGTATATCATCATTTATGAAKAAATTAATGATTAGTTTAAATAAATAGTGTTATATATTAACTTGGCTTATTGTTTAAGTAAGAGGATGTCAACTCAATATTCGTTTTCTCTCTTAGACCAATGCACAACATAGATAAAACAAATGGAGCACTGACATCCTCTTAATATTTATACCTACTTTGTTATTCATGTGGACATGTGGTATACCATATATACCTATTTATTAAATTGTTTAAGTAATATCTTGTAAGGTAGTTCTAAAATAGTTTGAATAATTTTAAATAGTATAAACATAATTTTTTATTAGGAGGATACTTTAAAATTATCATTAGAACGATTAATGACAGAAGTTACCATTTTAAAAGATCAACGGTTGAATTTTGTGATCGAAGTAGCTAATTTCTATGGAACAGATGATGAACTGACATCTTTAAAGGCGGAAAATATAATTTCTAAACAAAGAGCAGAACATTCTGATAAAATGTATTCACTTTTAAAAGGTTATTAYTAATTATATTATATTATTTTGAGTTTATACATTTATTGGATAGAAAAGTTGTAAATAATTGATAAAAAATATATATTTTTAAGATCAAATGGATGAAATGGAGTCTAGATGTAAAAGYCTTGAGCAAAACCTTTGTGATATGATCGAAGCAAATTTACAATCTCAAACTGAAGAAGTGCGTTTACGTGAAACAACAGTTAATATGGTAGATGAATCAGAACATGCTAAACTGTCTGACCAATTAGAAGATGCCCATAATAGTTTAGTAAGTAAATTAAAAGTGTTTTATGTTATAATATTAACCATAACATTTATCAATTATCAACTATATTCCAATATTTGTATGGTGTTAGGAAGAAGCTATCAGAGAAAGAACTAGATTATTAAGAATATTAGAAATAGCTCAAAATCAAGTACATGATCTTGAACAACATCATAAACGATTAGATCATCAACATGACGTAATGCAAAGACGTGTCATAGAACTTCAAGCTTTGAGTGATGAAAAAGCAACTATTGGTTTGATAAATTTTATATTAATTTATATAAATTAGGTATTTTAAAAGTATTTTAATGTAACATTTATAGACAAATTAATGCGTGAGATTGCAAATCACGAAGCCAATCTAATGGCAGCTGCTGTTGAAGAAACAAAACTTAAAGCTATAATACAGGATCAACAAACCAATATTGCTGSCTTAGAATGTAAAAACGATAGAATTTTGGAACAACATGAATCAATAACTCTTCAATTCAGAACAAAAATATCGTAAGTTAATAGAGTTGATGAAAACTTAATTTGTAGGTAAAAAATAATATTTTCCAGGCGTTTAGAAAAAATAATTTTTGAGTTACAAAGACGTTATTATGGGACTGTACCTTTAGTGTCTGAGCAAATTTGGGTTCATCACAAACAAAAACTAGAAGAAGCATTAACAATTACTTATCGAAAGTGGGTGTATGACGATAAGCCAAACAATGTTGATGAAATAGTGTTTATTCCAACAAAGACTACTGAAGATTATCGTTCAAAGTACACACAACTCCAATTAAAGGTAACCAAAATAATTAAAGTTAATTTATTTTTATAGTGAATAATTTAAAAACTATTTCAGGAACTTAAAGTCCAATTAACCTGTGATGATTTACAAAAAAAAAATCAACTTTTCACAGAACGCATTGAAAAGCAAGACTGTTTTATTGAAAGTCTTGAGAAAGAAATCATGCGAATGGATTCTGATTGTATGCATAGCTATCTATCATGGGGAATTCAAGAATTTTCTGATGATGCAAAATCAAAACCAAAAACACTAGATAAACAAATTAGTGTACAATCAGAAAATGGCTTTAGGACTTTAGAAGAAAAATTAGAAGATCTTAATAAACAGTTAACTATTGTAAGCATAAATCTGAAAAGCTAATTAATCATTTGTATATAGTTTAATTTTTAATATGTGATAAAACAACATATTTATTACACAGGCAAATAACAATATTGTTATTGAAAAAGAAACTTATAATTCAACCATCAAAAAACTACAAACCACCTTGAAAGAACTAGAAGACGTTAAAGTTTGTCTAGAAAAAGAAATATTTAATAAAGATGATCATATTAGAAAATTGACGGTCGAATTAGCATCTAACGAAATCCCTGAAACTGATACTCAGAATCCTGCTTTATTAGCCACAATAGAAAGCTTAGAAACAATTATTAGTCAAAAAGAAGAAACTATAAATAGACTTCAAGAGTTATTAAAAGAATGTCGAGAAGATCATACAAAGGAAATAATTGAATTACAAAAAAATGCTGAAGCGCACAATTTTAGTATCAAAGAAAAGTAAGGTTTTTATTTGTTAGAGTTTAACACTTTGTCATGAACTTAAATTAAAGTGAGAAGTATATGACATRTGTGAAAGTAATTTTATTTAGTAATCCTATTTAGGAAGGGTCAACAACAAGAGTGATGAAAGTATAAGGATAAACAACAGAATTTAGTGTAAAAGTAAGTAGGGTCTGCAGCAGGATTCACAATTGAGCTCTTAGTAAATAGTAATGGACAACATTACAAAATATATATAGTATGAGAGTTGCCATGGTGCATGATATTTGCAGATTATATTGTCTTAGTGGGAAAAAGCCTTGGAGAAGTGAATAAGAGATTAAAAAAGTGGAGAAAAGCGCTGGAAATTAAGAGACTAAGAATAAGTAAAAGTTAATTTTGGAGAAAGATATGAAAAGGTGATAGGTTAAAGTTTGAAAGATAAATATGGGAGATTATGAAATGTGTGATTTTAAAGTCAGTTAAGATTTAGTGGGGGACTGTTGAGTTGTAGATCATGGGTTGCCGATCTATCGTATATCTGGGAGAGAAATGCAAAGTAAAAGAAAGATAGTATAGCATTTTTGATCAATGATTGCTAATTTCTAGTTGATGAAACGTATAATATATTCATGTAAACTAAATACTTATTTTTATATTATAAATTTTAAAGATCACAAAAAGAAATATCATCTCCTATCCACTCAAATAACATTAAATCAGTAGTAAATCAATACATGCTTCGGATAACTGATTTGGAAGATAGAATTAAACAAGCTGATGATGATCTTAACCAAGCAAATTCTGAAAAAGAACACTGGAGTGGAGTAGCTGAAAGAAGACTTAAAGAAATGGAACAAATGAAATCTGAAGACGACTCAAAAGAAAAGGATACGGAAATTATTAAACTTAACGAAATAATAATGGGATATCAAAATAGAAGAGATACATTACCAGCTCAAAGAGACCGACTGAGAATTGAAGTAGACAAAATGAAAAAGAAATTGAATGATTACGAAAGACGTGAAAAAGAAGATAAATCAGAAATTCAAAAATTAAGGCAGCAATTAATTTATAGGTATGAAATTGTATGAAGCTATTTTTTCATAAAAATATTTAAAGAATATTCTATTTTAGGCCTCCTACTGGAGGTAAACGAGATGAAACTATGTCAGTTGTTAAAGAAGAAGCACTACTAAAGAAAATTAAAACTTTAGAAGCACAACTTGATGATTATAAAAAAAAAGATGAACAAAACAAAATGCTACGAAAATTAAAGGTTTTAATATTTGTGATGTATTTTAAATAATAAGAAATATTAAGTACTCTCAGCTTTGAACAATATTATAGTTCTTATTCTGTTAACACTAAGACTAAGAACAAGGGAGTAAAAATTAAAAGAAAAACAATATAATACATGTTTTCCATTTAGAAATTAATTTGATAAATTGTGTTTATTATAAATTATTTAATCAAAAATTAATTTGTGAATATAAATCATTTTGTCTTAATATCTTTTCCAAAATTTATTTTTAGTCTGATGAACAAGTTGGTAAATGGGAGATGAATAAACGACGTCAAGTAACAAATGAAAAATTACAAAATCAATTATTAGATACTACTAGAGAGTGTGATTCTCTTCGTTTGAATAATCAAAGGCTGAGAGAYAATTTAATGCGAATGGAAAAAGATAGAAATGCTTTAGAGCTAAAGCTAAAAATGGCCAATGGTAAATAAATTGTACTCTGTAATTTGAATAATATAAGTAAGTACATGATTTAAAATATACTGTTTATGGTTAGCTGCAGTACAATCAAGTGCATTGGCAAATAGTCTAGTTGAAGAGTTGACTTTAGAAAAAGATAGATTGTCAAATGAGTTATATACTTTGCGTACTGCTAAAGAAATGATGTCCGGTGGTACATCACTAGCTGAAGTTGTTGTTGATCTGCGTCGAAAAATATCAACCTTGGAACTACTACAAAAAGTATGTTAACATTTAGTCAAAAAAATAAGTAACCTGACTTACGTCATATATGATTATGTGTATGGTTTAGGGTGGAAGTAATGCTTTAATTAAAGAAGTAGAAACATTAAAGGACAGTAAAAGTAGATTGTTGAAAACTAAAGCATCACTTGAAGAAGAAAATGCTAGACTACAAAAAATTGTTGACCGTTTGCAATTAACAGACAATCTGTATGTTTTTATGACAAACATAATTAAAATAATTTAATTAAACAATATATTAATTTTAGGAGTGGTGTATCTAGCTTAAGTTCAGATTCAGATTATCCTAGTACAGAAAATAAGCGAACAGCAAAACTAGAACGTTTAGTAATAATGTTAAGAACTGCTGTAGATAAACTAAAAGAGGAAAATAAAAACTTATCGCTTGAACGTGTAGTTACTAACATTGATGATAAGGTACCTTTTATTATTTTTTATGAATGTAGTATAATGTAGAGACTAGAATAATAGATGTCTACCTCATGAAGTACTCTGTTTAGATTTRAAGTTGCTTAAAACAGAATTTTTGAAAATTAAAACAATATAATTCTACTTTTATACAGATATAATAACACAACAAATTGTTTACTCTATTCCATTGACCATTAGTTACACTGAAATTCAAAAAATTGTTGTGAACATTTCTGAAATGAAAATATTTTCAGTATCTATTCTCCAACTCACTAAACCTAATTACATAATCAATAAAAAAAAAAAAAATATAACTAATATTATTAAATCATTGCTATAGAGTTATGTGGAAAAATTACAAAGCGAACTTCAGACTACACAAAGCTATTATTTGGATGCTAGTGAAAAATGTACTCAATTGGAACAACAATTAAAAGACTATCATTCACAGTATGAAGCTGTTTTTGCAGAAAATGAGAATTTAAAGATCCAGTTGGAAAAAAAAAGTTATTTATTGAGCAAAACAAAAACTATGTTACAAAAAGCAGCTGCCAGAGAACAACAATCAATGGAATATCCAAACAGTTTGAGGATTAATAATCCTACTTCTATCGAATAGTTGTATTAGAAATTTATTATTGTGGCACAATTAATTTATAGGACATACTTTCTTGATCTGAATAATCATTAATTTATCTATTTAAATATTATTTGCTCACTTGAAACTACATTTTACAAATGATTTTCTTTTAAAAATATCCATACTATTTTCTTATTTAATATTTATTATAAATTTTCATTTTTATAATTATTCCAATTTATACTTTTCCATACACTTGTAATATTTTATTTATTACAAATTTGTTTGATATTATACTATTATCTTATATAAAATGATTTTGATGAATACCTACGTAAATCATATAATTCCGTATAATTGATAATGTTTATTAAAAGGATTAATGATATGTCATTTCCTCAAAAATATCATTCMTTTTCTTTTTTGTATAGGTCATTTTACTCTAAGATTATTTAAAAACATAGAAAAATGATTCTGCGTAAAGTAAATGCGTTTTGTCTATGTTGCGCGTGGACTAGAGAGAGAAAACAAATAGTGCGCTGACATCCTCTTAATATACAACTAAATGTAAATCAACAGGTATTGTGCTACAACACTTAACAGCTCATTTTTATATTCAAAAGTTAGTTGGTAAAGTGTAATATAATTACCTATTTGTTATACATATTTGAAGTGGAATAGGGGAAAATGGAAGTGGCAGTTTGGACATGGAAACGATTGAACCTGAGTCCAACTTAGAGGGGGGGGCTAGGGGGCTGCAGCCCCGTGCCCCGATATTATTTGTGGCCCCGGGCCTCTGTTGATATTTAATTATTATTAAAGTGGCATTTTGAAATAATTGTATGATATTATATTACTSGTTACGTAGATTCGTTAGTCACGTATCGTAATGGAATTTACGATTATTCTCTAATCGATAAAATAAGCTATTAAGTTTTAAGATAAAGTTGGTCAAAAGCACTTTACATTGTTATGATTACAATTCATGTACCAACACTTCTTTATTTATATTTATATTTTTAATTTCATCGTTTTGTTTATATTAATTGTCATTAAATAATTACTTATAGCCTTATTATGGTATAATTGATTTATAATCTTATAAAATAAATCGAATATAACAAATCTATATAGCATAAAGACTACATTTATAATTCAAGTTGATAATTTAAAATTTAGATAATAATTAATTTTGTGGCCCCATTAAAAAATTTGTCCCGGGCCCCAAAATTCCTAAGATGGGCTCTGGATTGAACGTAAAAAAAATAATAAATATAAACGTATTTTAAGAATTGTTCTAAATTATGAAAATAGAACTAAAATATAATTTTTACGCGGAATCGCTCAAAATTCCTAGGTCCTCAGTGTATAGTTAGTGGTGTAAATAGAAATTACCTACCAATACCGACATCAATGTTAATTTATACGTTTACCGACCATAAATTCAACTGCAATAAAAGTATAATATATACTACAATAATTGTAGGTATACGAATTACGAGTATAATTTAGGTAGGTACTAGGTACATAATATTATCATTACTACTAAGTACTGACTAACTATTGTTTTTTTTACGATCAGCGCATAATGATACATTTTATGTATGATGTATGAAATTATTTATTTAATATAATGYCATTATTATAATTTAAATATGTTTTGTTAATAATTCTTACAATAGCACCTTTATGGTTTTATAAACTACTATTAGTATTATTACAGTAAAATTGTATTGATTAATCGTCCACATTAGTATATTTGACCACATGAAACCATTAGGAAAAGAGGTCGATAAAAAGTTTTAAAAAAATCACTTATAATTATTAACAAAATATGCTTAAAAAATCACGATTTTGTAAGAAATCATAACGTAGAAACTAATCATGACAATGTTATTAAAATCGTTTACACCCTTTGCAATCGCAATAATCTGATCCRGAACCGCAATACCCGTTTGGGCTACAACAGCTGAATTTAGTATTGGGTTCRCACTCGGCCTCATATTTGCCATCGACCTTGTCCGCTTTTGGACCACACGTGCCAGCTCTCTTATTTCCATCTTCCAGAGTCCACCACTTCTTTGGTCCGAACCGGTACGATRGTTTCTTTTTGAAATTYACACATCCTTGACAGTCACAGAAATCAGCTCCCTTACCGCAATAGTTGCCATTAGAACAGCAATACGCATTCTCGTCGTCTGGATTACACGTGGGGAACACACCGTTGATTTTTTGTATCTTTCGACCACACCTAAATACGTGTTCGTTGTACACGTAGGTGCATCATAAAAATTATACATTCACGTTAATTTTACGCGTGTAAACAATAATATTAAATGATTTATATTAAAATTATGATAACATTTAGAAAATGTTAAATAGGTTAGATAACCTACCTTCCACGTAGGCCTTCTTTTGCGTCCAGGAAATACCATGTAACTGGAACGGTTGGTTTGATTGGTTCATCCAATATTATTTTTGGATTATTTCCAAAGTCTTTGCACGTTGGACAATTACAGTATTTATCACCAGATCCACAATATCCAGACGGACCGCAACAACTGTATCCAGGGTCGTCCGGATCGCATACTGGATAATAACCTTTGTACAATGGAGCGGAGCGACCACACAACCCAGCAAAGTCATCTCCGTCTTCAGATGTCCACCTATATATAATATACACAACACAATATTAATCTGATTTTTAAACATTGCATCCATAAAAGTTGTTTTTTATGCATAATGTATATATATACATTTATACAAGGTCTTCAAAACGTTTGGAAAAGGTGATTCGGACAAATTAATGAAGTTTTACGGAGCAAACCCACATATACACACTTCAAATGACCTCAATAAAACTTCAGAAAATCAGACCACATGGAAAAATCTGTAATGACAAGCGCAAAACAACGCTAGAACGTGGGTAAGAGTTATGGTTTTTACCAGACATAGCGGATTTCAAAAAACCAGTCAAAACGATTATTTAAATMGATGCATTACAAATACATATAGGTGTGTATCGGTCAAGAACATCGATTTATAAATAAACAGACTGATAAGAGAGAGAGAGGTCCAGGGGCCAACATTTTTAGTAAAAGATGTCATACGCGCCTTAGATAGTCAGATCTTATTATGTTACTATATCTTTCTAACAATTTTAGCACAAGGCAACATATGATAAGGTATGGGAAAAGCATATTCCATATGGATAACTTGACTATCGACGACTAGAAGGACCAGAGTGAAGTATCATTATTGGCTCAGTCGGAAGAGCCGCGTGCGGACGACAACCGTCGGACCCGTATTAACAATAGGCGGCGGTGAAACCTTGTAATAATATTATATTTTAATATAATTTATACATACCAACGTTTTTCTTCTATTGGTGAACACTTATGATTTACGTCATTAGGATTCGTTTTGTCACATAATGGTGCGGTATACACAGTATTCAGAAGTGTAAGATCGTCGTCATCCAAATCAACAGACCAAATCATCAAACCACCTACATTTTTTTCGGCCGCATATTTGACTTTATACTCCAAAGACTTCTTGTTTTCGTAACCCAAAAATACTTTAGTGGCTGCGTTCCACGCATAAGGCGACTTACTCTTTTCATGAAAACTCTGTTCAAACCGTTGGTCCGACAAATGATCTTCATTTATCTTGAACCACGGAGTATAACCACCCTGGAAAACACCATTTATTGAGTTTGCCGTTCGCCACATCTGATCCTTTCCGTCCACAGAGTCACCGACGTTATTCCAAAACCGACCATAAAACGGAACGCCCATGTTGATCTTATGAGGAAGTTTGGATTTGCAAGTGTAATATTTAATGGTCCAATCTACATTTGTTTTGCCAGAAAACCTAGGTGGCATTCCAAAATACAGCGGTGCTGGTGGTCCCGTGTACGCACCCCATTTACTTGACCAAGCGCCAAAAAAATCATAAGTCATTACGTTCACRAAATCTGCGTACTGTAGCAACCCAGGCAAATCAAAACCMGGATCCAGTGTCCATTGTCCAGCAGCTCCGGCAAAAGATATGAGAAATTTGTTTTTACGACCTAAAACAGAAAAAAAGAAAATGTATGTATTCAAACTGTGATAAAACGCTTATGTATAAAAATATAGGCACCTGCGTCCTTGGCAAAAACGTCCAAAGCCTGCCGTAGGTCTTTCATAAGAAGAACGTAATTATTTTTATCTTGTGGCACACCTTCTACGGCTCCACCCGTCACTGGATACTCCCAGTCAATKTCTACTCCATCAAAACCTACACRACAAGGCAACAACAAATAWCACAGTTTTAAGTAATAATGATTATATACTGATTTAATTGTATTGACGTACCGTATTTTTCTATAAGTTTCACTACGGAAGCGATAAACTTCAACCTGCCATCAGAAGATGCGGCAATTYTACTGAAGTACTGGGAATTTTCCCATCCTCCGACGGCAAACATGACTTTTAAATGAGGGTAGAACTTGGCCAAGTTCATGAGATGCTCTAACCTGCTCCGCGATTTAGCAGTTTCTTCTTCTACATTAGGACTGTGTGCTATGTCTGGTGATCCCAGGTCGACGGTACCATCGGAACGCATTTCCAAAAAAGCATAAATTACGTGCGTCAGCTTGGCCAATGCATCGCTTTTTATCTTCTTCAATCCCCACGAAGTGTAATATCCGATAATACGTTTACCGCAGTTTTGTACTGATACTTCGACATTACCACTCGGAGGTGAAATATCGTCATCCAAATCATTGTCGTCCTCGTCATCACCCACTGCGTCACCCACCACTACAGCTTGACGTTTTTTTATTAGATCAAACAATTCTTGTTTCTCATCTAGTTCCGACGGCGTACATCCCCTAGAAAATCGATCCGAAGTATCTCGTTTTTGTTTTCTCTTTTTACTTGTTAATTTATTTTCCCATTCTTTTTTCTCATATTCATCAATTGTTTTAACGTTCATACAGTCAAACACGTTCACAGGCAACCATATTGTTCCTGAATCTGCATCGTTGTCAAATCCAGGATTAATACCGACTTCTCGACCAGCCGTCACTTCAATGGACTTAACCCATGGATTTCCCAATGTAGTGTCGTATAATTTTTCAATTTCTGATTGCGATCTTGCTGTGAATATG